AAGGCGAACACCTCCTTTTGCAGCTCCGAATTTTGCTGCAGCACCAGGGCCACCACACTCTCCATCCGCAAGCTCTTCCGGGGCCGCTGCTCGCCATCTTCTTCAACTTCAGGCCCCATTTTCAATGCCGCCATTGGCATACCGCGGCCTTCTCTTCCTCTTCCCCTTTCCATGTTCGGCGGGAGTGACAAAGGTCTGAGGCTCCTTAAGACCGCCTCACCTTTCATGATTGATGGCCAGACTTCCTTTCTTTCCAGAGCTCGCAGACTCCATGGATGGAGTGCTCATAACCCACGTGTCACACGTGACTATAGCACCGCCGCGCTTTTTTCTTGGCTTCAAGTCTCAAACCTCCCCAAACATGTCAAGACATCATGTCATGCGTGACCAAATGTCTAGCGCTTTGTATGTAAGATCTGCTTTAGTTCTACCAAACTTTGTAGACGAGACTTAGGGTCTTGCGACAAACGTTTCATAGCCTGCACGCAGCACTACCCTTGTAATTGACTGTGCAATGGACGATTCAAAATCACCCTTGCAGCGCCCGCTAGAAGACAAGAGCCCGCGACTCATCTATGTGGACGCGGAGGTGACTACAATAACTGTTGTTTTCACTGCAAGCTGTTGGTTAACACCCACTCGCATATTCTTTTGTTCTCTCCGGCTCTCTAACACATACCAGTGCTCCATTCACTGCTGTCATCGCTGCCTACGGCGGAGCCTGTGAAAGATATGCGCAGGACGCCTTCGTACGGAAACCTTCTTGGAGGAAAGTCAAGCTTCGCCATGAAGATTCAGCCAAACCTTGAGTTTGTGTTTTGAGTTTGTTTGAGGTTACAATGAGGAGTTGAGAGCTTCCTATCAGCCACCTCCTGCCCCTGGTGCTCGCAAGAAGAGGCTTCTTCATGTGGGCCCATGGAAAACAGGTTCTTCGGCTATGCAGCAGGCGCCTGAGTTTTCCAACGCAGGGAAGGTGAAGGTGGAAAGGTTTTGCGAAAAGAGCGTCAGACTGTGCAGAAGATTCTTTTGCTATTTTGTGTCATCGTTTCATTTGAGTAAGCACATGTGTCTGGGCATGCGTCGACTCGTATAGAATTTGCGGTAAATTCAAGAACAAGATGTAGTTGCCATACGTTTTTCAGTATGAACGACAGAAAGCTGCCATGCCACCCTTTTGAACTTCTGAACGTTCTCCGCGCAAGATATGTAAGACTCAGACCAGAGCAAAATAGCACACTACAGTATACGACCATGCAGTATACTCTAGTGGAGACGAAAACAAACAGATCGCGTTGAGATTGCAACGGGTAGCGGAGCCGGTGCTAGAGCATCCTTCCCACCCCAAACTCTTACAGCGGCTCACAGACAGATCCAGGAGTGTGCGTGTGTGGGAGCTTTGCTGACCATTGCTGGAGCTTGGAAGGTCGAGAAAAAGATGGCTGAACCCAAGGTCTGGATCATCGTCTCCCGACTGAAAGCGTTTATTTTCCAAAACCAACTTGTACTTTAACTTGTCTCGTGCTGCCTCAGACAGCAATAGCTGTAGGGGCCCATATTGCTCCTATTGTGTCTTTGCCGCTGATGTGCGCACTGCTGCCTTGTCTTGCCACTTGTCTGCCTGTGTGGTCGCCGTAGGCTCCCCTCAGCCGGCCATTCTTCGTGCCTGTGCCCGGCCGTTGGCCGAACTTTGCGGTGTGGTGAATAGTCAATTTCACGCCGTAACTTGATCGCAGGAAAATTTTGATATCTCAAGAGGTCACTGGTGGCAAGCCCAGCCCTAGGAAGAAATGAGAAGAGCACCGTTTTGATCCACGTGGATGACTTGATTTTCACAGGTTGTCCGAAGTACATCAATGAAATCTTCCTTCCAAAGATTCAAGACAGGTTTGGCACCAGTTTGAGCAAGATCGAGAAGGTCGGTGATAAATTCAACTTTCTGAGCAGAAAGTGCAAACTAGACGAAGATGGACTATGGATCCAACCAGGTAACTACATCCAGCAGATGCTGAAGGCATGTGAAGAGCAGATTGGAAAGATCAAACTCCAACAGCTACCTTCAGACAGTTCGGTTCAGATGGAAGACAAGTCAGAGATCCTTAGTGATGAAGAGAGAAGCGGCTTATTCAGAAGTATTGTGGGTTCAGGTATCTACCTTTGTCAGGAAAGGTATGATGTGGCATTTACTGTCGAGGAATTGGCTTCAAGAATGTCAATGGCAACAACTACGTCCTTTCATCACTGGAAGAATTATCTAGGATAAATGAAGAAGACTATGGACTATTGCAATTGTCTTGTAATTGAAATCCCACAGGCAGGAGAAGGCTATGTAAAGATAAGTGAACTTTTTGCTGCCTAGAGACATTTTCAGACTCAGACTGGAGCGGAAACAAAAGCCTTAGAAGATCAACATCAGGAGGATTCCATGCGTTGAACAGTTGCCCATTGTTCAACAGCAGTCGAACACAGAAGATCCTTAGCTTATCTCCTTGCGAGGCATAGTTGCGTGCAATCGTTTCCTCAGCTTCGGATGGTATATATACATGGTATAGTACACACACACATATATATATATATATATATTCGTTCAGTTCTTGAGTTTGCTCTGGGTGGACCATTGCATCTTCACAGATTCTTCGAGTGCGCGCCAACTTGTGGTAAAGGGAGGAGTTGGGAAAGTGAGACATTTAGACGGCGAATTGCTGTGGGTTCAGAATCGAAATGACTTCACTATGCGTATGGCGCAAGGAGCAACAGACAGCAACATGGTAGACATCAATACCAACCACTAGGAGGCCAGAGAATCCGATTTCTGATGAACCTTATTGGGTACTGGCACAATGAAGAGCAGGCGAGTTGGTGAGCTTGAGAGACAAGCGTATGAAGAGAGAAAGAACTTTGCAGGGAAGGTCAACAAAATTGCAAAGATGTTTGTCAGAATTGTGACCTTGGAGGGCTTGCAGCCAATGGTTACAGAAGCGACTACCTTCATGAAAGGAGTTGACCAGCAGTGCACATTGGAAGTGGAAGATTCCAATAGGAGCTGGTCACGATCATCGTGATCGCTATCTTTGGTTTTGCAGCAATGACCTTAGCAATGGACCTTTTGGAAGTACATGAAAGAGGATGGAAGAGACTTGCAAAGAGGTTACACAAGGAGACTTCATTGTGAATTGATTCTCCATGGAGGTTTCGTAGAAGAGCAAGAGCCAGATTCTATGCGCAGACAGGCCTATATGACATGATTTCTGAGGCAAACGCTGCAAACTATTTAGCAATAAAGAAGGAGATTAGAGTGTTTGAGGGCTACAAGTGGACCATTTTGTGGACATGCTAAGCTCTTAGAGGCAGCGAGTCGAGGGGCAGTTCCTTCAGATGGACCAGCGTCAACATCACTCAGAAGTGGAAATCCAGAATATGTGAACAGCTTGGAGTATGAACTAGAACAAAGAGAAATACCACCTGGAAGATTTACAGGCAAGATCAATAGCTTGAACCGGCAGCGTGAAGTGTACAGAGGACAATTTGCTCAAGCAGATGTCCTTGATGCTGAAAGAGCCCACTTTCAATAAGTGAATTCAAGGTAAACAGCCTCAAGGAACCTCGTTCCTTAGAGTGAATGTAGTGAGAAATTCGAGTAGATGTAGAAAAGAGGTAGAGTAGCGGTAGAATGAGCTAGCAGAATGCATAACAGCGCTCACTCCACCGAGAAGGAGTGTGTAGGATTTGCAGTATTTATCAGAGGCCGGTTCACCTTGCCGCAGCCCTTTGAGTATCAGGAAAAAGTTCACATATCCCAAAACTAATCTTCAGAAACTATTCGGAAGCTAGTGGCAACCTAAGTTAGGGCTGCAAACTTCAAACGCAAATGGATGTTCACATACAGAGCCAGCGCGTAATGTTTCTGAAACACATGGTGGCCGTTTCTAACTTTGTCGTGACACAGAAGCCACATGTCGCGCAACACATTGAATTTTAACAGCCAAGGACTCCTTCTAGCACACCAAACTCCTCCTGCGAATTGCCTTCGCGACTTTGCAGTTTGAGAAACTTCGAGACAAAGAAAATTCATTTCTTTTGTCAAAGAATGCAATGAACTTCACAAGGCAGAACTCCGGTTTCGTGAGCATCTGAGCATTAATGACAATCCGTTTGGGCTTTATACGCGGGCTGGCAAATGATTCATCCTCCTCAACAACACATTTTCAGCAGCCGTTTGCTGAGCAGCAAAAGTAAGGCATAAAGCGCATCCCTGCTTCATCCAGCAATGTGCAAACCACAGGGCCCTTGAGTGGCTTGATTAGTGCATTAGGTGGTCGCCGCGGTCACCTTCCTCGTTGCGCAGCGGCCTTGACGACATCTGTGTGACATATGGGATACGTTGCGAATCTTTGAGCGCGAGTCCTGTACCGGAAGCAAGTGTCATGTGTCACTGCATCTTGAAGAAGCTGAGCGTTGCCCACCGCGATTTCACATCAGCGCCCAAAGTGATTTTTTAATCATATTTGTTTCTGT